GTCGGAGAGATGTCATCTCCCCCTGGAGCGACTTTCAAAGCTCGATTGCTCAACAACCAAGCTTGTGCCAACACCAAAAGTGGCGGTATTGGGAACATCTCGTCGAGGGGCTTTCCGGAGACGTACCGGGCTCGTTCCGCACCCCTTTGGTTTGTGGAGCAATCGAGCTTTGAAGGCCGGTCTAGGGGGGCGTGACATCTTTCCGCCTCTTACGGCATGTATATGGAACAAGACTTATGCATGGCCTTAGCCCCCCCAGATCGTATACCCTCGCATGCCTGCATCGCCACGTCCTGGTTTCGCATACGGCTCAATTGCGTAGCTCAAGTCACGAACGAGCTCAAATGTTTCGAAGCACGAAGAATTCCCGCCTCGCCGGTACAGCAAGGCCAAAACTGTGGGTGGCTTTCTTGGCACCTGTTTTTTCGCATTTTCCTGGTAACCCCAGAATCTCAAGAAGAAGCAGACCCCTCATATCATTTGGCAAAACCAGCCCTTTGCGCCGCAGGAACGAAGAACGACGCCTTCAAAAAGCGCTCAAACAACGATGTTGCGCCTTCTCCCGCCCGCAGGACGCAGTTTACATGCGCCTGGGAATCATGCACCTGGCAACTACACATGATCACCCACAAAAAACACACTACGAGTCGGGACGAACCTCGGGCAGGTAGCGGTCGAAGTCGTACACCGTGACGTTCTCGCCCCCGACAGCGAGCTGCCACCCCACGGAGTCGAACTCCATGCACGACACCCCGCCCGCAATCCTACCCTGCAGGCCCTGGCTGGCCGGGTGCCCCCTCACCACGCCGGAACCCGTCCCTGAGTTGGACACGCAACCCATCCTCAGCCGCTGGGTCCTGAGGCCGCTGCCGAGCACCGTGGACAGCGCCTGCCGCCTGAAGGTGTCCCTGCCGGCGTCTCCGACTCCGACGCCGCGGCAGCGTAGGCCCCCCGTCCGCTGCCGCCGGGACAAGAAGAGAGAGGGCGCTCCGCGCCTCCGGCGGCAGGGCCACGGCCCAAATTGCGCAGCAGCAGCAGCAGCAGCAGCAGCAGCACCTGAAGCTTCTCGTTCTTCCTCTGTTTCTGCTGCTGCTGCTGCTGCTGCTTCTGCTGCTGTTAGTGCTGCTGCTGGTCGTCTACCTGGCGGCGGGAGTCCTTCGGTTCCTTCGACCCCTTCGTCGGCTTCGGCGCTTGGGCTAGTAGGTGCATCTTCCGCGCTTGCCGCTACACCACCCGCAGCTGCTGCTACAGCTGTCTCGGTCTCCTCGCCGACAGCCATCGCCTCGGGAAATAAGCCGCCTGCTGCTGCCGCCGCTCCTACATTCGCGGTCGCTGCTCCCACCTGCGTAGCCCCCGGCAAGAAGGGGGTATCCGACAACGCGATTCCAGACTGCGCTGCCCCCAAGGAACCGGCGCCCGCCGCCCTTCTCTCCGCCGCCGCTGCCGCTCTC